TCAGTTATGATATTATCTTTATATAACACTGTGCTTTTTTACAAGGACTTAATAGGAGTGCAAGGCAGACATGGTTACCCTGATATTTTACAGGTAGAAGTTGAGGCTCATAAAAATTCAGTATGGAGTAGAAATTGACTCCTGGTCAAGGAACTGAGCAGAGGAGTTGGCTGTCTGTGTGACGTCTTCTCCCTCCTCCCCTAACAATGTGAGCTCTTCAGTAAGGTGACGGGAAGCTCAGAGAGCTGTTGGAATTGAGGTTGAATATTATTTGATGTGGCTGCTCTGCCTGAAATAAAGGTAGCTTCAACAACATTTATTCTTTCTAAGGACAAATAAGCGTGGAGATGGCAGTCCAGAGTTGGTATGGCAGGTGCACCATCAGCAGTGAGTCAGGCCTCTTCCGTTTTTCTGCTTCGCTGTATTAATTATGTGGCTGCTACCTTTAAGTTGTGTCATGGTCACAAGATGGCTGCTGGGTTGCCCTCCATCACTTCTGAATTTCAAGAAATAGGAAGGAGAAACAGTAGAACAAAAATTACTGCTTCCCAGACAAGCCAGCTTCCCTCTAACCCCCCACTTACGTCCCATTGACAAGATAGGCTGCCCTATCTTGCCTAGTTTTCCCTAGTCCTAAGGCTTAAGGAGGCGTAAGGAAGAAGGAGAGAAAAAGTAGCAAGGAATTTGAAGGAAAACAAAGTGCTAGGACAAAACAATAAAAAAAGTATAGGTACTCTTTAGTAGAATATGGGGTGAGGTGGTGCACACTGGATTGACAATCCAGTATGATGCTTGACACAATCAACACACCTCCCACATGTCTCCATGAGGAGCATTGTGTCAATATTAAACTTCTGGAACACAGCCCATGTTAGAAAGACCTGTGCTTTAGAATAAAGTCCTAAAAGGAAAGTAATTGATAATCTGATCAAGAGTATGAAATGATTATTTTTTCCATTTTAAAGTTAAAGCTTGCTTTTATATTTACTTTGATAAACACATCTGGGTTGATTTTCAGATTTAGAAATGCTTGAAAGCTGTGGGTTGTTGGGTAACTTACTCAAGCTCTTTGAGTCTCTATTTTTTCATTTTCCAAAATGAGAATGAATTATACTTACCTAATAACATGGTTGTTAAACAAGATTAAATGAGAGAATCATGCACGTTGATAATGCACTTGTAGCCCAGTGTGGTGGCACCTAATGGGCGGGTGGTAAGTGGCACCTAGTACTTAATTAGAGAAGTCGTGCCGCTAGTAATAGTGGTGAGCATCCCCTCTGCTTATGCTGCTGTGCTGCTTCCCCAGCCATGATGCTGGGGTGCTTTAGACGGCATGCTCGAAGGCGGCATCATTATCCATTCACTGTCTTTCAAGGGCTCAAGATGTCTTCCGTCAGGCGATGAAATCTCCGAGGGTGCTCCTGCATGTGCTTCCACCTCAAAACCGTGAGCAGTATGAAAAATCTGTCATTGGACCTCTTAACATTTTTGGTAACAACGATGGCGTTTTGAGAACAAAGGTGCCGCCTCCTGTCCATGGAAAATCGGGAATAAAGACAGTAAATCTCGCAGGAACAAGCGGTCCTGAGGAAGATACATCGACTTCCCTGCAACAAAGCAAGAGCCCCCCACTACCAAGACTAAGTAGAAAGCCCCCCTCTCCCTCACTCTCCCCTCTCATGGGGTTCGGCAGCAAGAAAAATGCAAAGAAAATTAAGATTGACCTAAAGAAAGGTAATTATTAAATTATGCCTAATAGCATTCTATTGTTGTAACATGTCACACTGGTTAAGAGAAATGCATTAAGGCTAATTTTGTTAATTCTCCCTTCATTTAATTGAATCAAAGAATAGATTTAAGTGTATACTTTGGTACCAAATTTCTGGAAATGGTAGTACTTTCTTACTCTTTTTTTTTTTCTGAAGAGTGGGTTATTTGAAACAAGAAAATTAGAAAGACATACTGGGAAGCAGAAAGAACTATTTCAAACTTGATAGAAACAGAGCCATACTGTGTCACAACTTAATACTAAATAGGCACTAAAATTCAATTGTCCCTGTTTCAAGCAAGATGAGTGATTTTTGAAGAATTCTTTAGTCCAAGTCCAAAAAGCCAATTTATTATTTCTGGTTCTCTAAGATACTTCTATATTAGCAAGAAGTTATTCCTCAGCAAATATGTGGTAATTATTAATTTCACTAGTTTAACATTGCAAACAATTTTTCAGATATACTTAATTTCAAATGCATGTATAACCTTTTCTTTCTTCACTGTTTTCAACTTTTCATTTCAAGCCCAGATCGATAAGACTAGATCATGCATGTTCATACATATTTATGCAGTACTGTACATACACACATAAGCATTCACGTGCTTCCGTGCTTTTGTTTATTTTGTAATGTCTCTTGATGATTGCTTCTCCTAGTGCAACCTTCTGCAATCCGGTGTGATTTTTCAAGACTCTAATTTAAAGAATCCAAGATTTCATGGATTCTTGTCTAAATTAATAGAAAATATAGTGATCACAAGGTAGTTTTAGAATACTTAGTAACATACATCTAAAGCAAATAGCATGTACCTTTAACTAAGAGAGATTATTCTGAAAAGTCCTCTGGTCAAAATTGTGTCCGCCCCATAAGAATTCTGTACTGGGAAGAAAATGTATTGACTAGGAGGCACAAGTACTCCTGTGTGCTTAGCAATTGGATTTTTTTTTTATAGAAATGTATCCATTGTGCTTTTCATACAAATTATGCAGCTATGTATAAGGCGTGAGGTTAAGTGGTTTGAGGATAGATAAACCAGACAAAAAATGTGACCTTAAAAATCATCAGAAAGCCTTGAATGCAAGAATAAAGAATATTACATAACAGCAATGTTTTGGGAAGATAAATCTGACAGCACAAAGATACACTAAAGAAGAAGGCGAACAACAAGGGATCAGTGAAGGGTGCCCTGAATCTGTCTGAATGTAATATGTATGCCTAAGTAGCTGACTGGATGTGGGAGGGAAGAGAGAGGAATTAAAGCTACTGCTGAGGTTTTCAGCCAGGGTGGCCTGTACAATGGAGATGCCATTACTAGAAAAATTAGGATTTTAAGTAGAAAAAGCCTGGATCTGAGTTGGAGATGGAGGTTCAGAGTGAAGTATAAAATGCTGGTGAAAGTATATGCTTGGTGATATCCAGGAAGTTGACACCAAAGAAATTAGTGCCAATCCAAGAGACTTAGGTGTCATCCACAGGGAGATGGTAGTTACAGCCAGGAGCTGGCCAAAGCCTAGAGACAGATTGTTCGAGGATTGGTCCTTGGGGATCATTTGTGTTTACATAGGAGAATAGTGGGTAAGAGAAACAGCAACAAATGTGATGTAAACAGAGAGGCAGGAAAATAATCAGAAACTGAAGATATGAAAAACAAGAGGGGTGGTTAATTTCAAGAAAATGGTTGGTGAGAAGTGTCAAAGCTAGAGGGGGAAGATTAGAATAGGAACAATTATTGGATGTGGTTATGGGGAGGTCATTGGTGATGGGAGATGGAAGGGGCAGTCGGATTATGGGGGGGTCATTGGTGATGGGAGATTGAAGGAGCAGTAGGGTTGAAGTAAGGATGCGTTAAGGTGGAGAAATCTAACCATACTTTTAGATAGAGGTTAAAAAAAATACACTTGAAGAGGGATGGAGATGTAGAATGAGACAGGAGCAGCCAGAGTGAGTGATGGGACAGTGGAATGCACCAAATAAGGAAGGGTGACACGGGGACACGAGGAGCCCCGGGTTGGCAGCTGATGGAAAGCCTGCCATGTCAGACGGCATTTGCTTCTCTGGAGGGAGTGAAGTCAGGTGTTGGTTTACTGAGAAATCGATCTCCTGGGTGAACGGATAACTTGTGGCGTTTCTTCCAAGACCTTCATAAATGAAAGTAGTAACACGTCTAGATTGCCCCTAAATTCACTGTGATACCATCATGGCCTATGAGGAACTGTAATCTGTATTTGAAACAAGAAAAACTGAAGCATATTTAAAATAATTTCTGGAATGCCAATATTTCACTTTTCGTGCATTAGTCTAAATTAGGTAGATTTTGCTATAAGATGGAATATAATATTACTGCTGCTTAAGGTGATTGTGTATTTTCCTGGCCTTATACACTAGGCCCTGAAGGACTTGGTTTCACTGTGGTTACCAGAGATTCTTCCATACACGGTCCTGGTCCCATTTTTGTAAAAAACATCTTACCAAAGGGCGCAGCAATAAAAGATGGCCGCCTGCAATCCGGGGACAGAATCTTAGAGGTAAGAATCAGAATGAATATCTTCAATAAAATACATCTTGGTGTTTAAGTACATAAACATATAGACAGTTTTGAACACAATATATTGAAAACTGTACTTGCAGACAAGATAAGGACTTTAATCAGAAAGCTAGTTAATGGATAGCCTGTTTGTAAGTCTCCAATAAGAACAGTGATACAGGCCCAAATAGCATTGCAAAGTTTTCCATATCTCCTCTTTCTTACATCTGCCTCTTAGGGTCCCTGGGGAATTTGGGTCAAATCCAAGAGTTCATCATATATTCATTTAAGGCCAAGAATTTGAAAGTCGCACCCAAACCCTGGTCACAGTTTTTTTAAACTCTTTCAAGGGTGGACCAACCTGTCTCGGGTTGA